TTACTTTGGCGGTCTTAAGTATACTAGGATAAGTTTTAGAGGAAAATGCATGATTAAATATATGGCATAAGGGACCACACAATACATCAATATTCTCCTTTAAAATCCTTGATGATATGGCGTCATGTCCAGCTGCCTTGTTCCCAGGTAACTTATTAATTACTTGTCGGATGTCATCCTCAGTTACATCACATAAATCAAAATTATTGGTAACAGTACAGGGTGCACTTAAATTCTGCATATGAGTAGGGAACTTCCTCGCAAGGCTGAGACCAATATTAGTAAAGTAATCGTTAAAGTTGTCGGCCACTTCACGAGTTGGATTATCAGGTGTAATGCGTTCTTTGCTACCCATGCCAGTGACGTCTTTAACAATCTGCCATATTTTCTTCGTGTTACCATCATTTTTTTTCACTAGGTTGGTATAGTAGCACTTCTTGGATTTTCTTATCATTGCTACTGACTTGTTTCTGTAAAGCTTAAAATTTTGATGGTAGTATTCATTGCTCCTGTTATTTTTCCATTTGTCGTAGTAAAAATCTTTCAGCTTCAAAACCTCAAGTATATTTCTATTCATCCATGGACATATGGCATGGTCATAATTTCGGCGCGAACAGCTACGCGTTGATCGTTCAATGACATCCATAATGCATTTTACAATGTTATCACACTCGACGTCCACGTCTTCATCATAGAGGGCATCAAAATTCGTTCCTTGTAGTAGTTTTTGCACGGAATTATAGTCGACACGTGTTGTTCGTTTAATGGCAGGTATGGCAGGAGCACAAATGTATTTCTGGGGTAAAAATAGAAAGGTGGGATTGTGATCCGCAATAGCAACAGCGTATACGCCTGCCGATACATCCAGGTCAGCGTTACACAACACGTGATCAATAATCGACTCCGAGTGGTCTGTTATGCGAGTGGGTGATGAAATAACATTTCTCAGATTAACTGATTGTAGCAAAAACACGTAATCATCACATGTATCTCCAGACACGTCTATGTTAATATCACCGCAGACAATAATAGGTGCTTTAGAGGCCACAATGGGTATCATGGTACTTTCCATCACAGTAATGAAATCAGCCACACTGGAAATTGGTGGACGATATATTACACCGATGATGACACCATTCTGAAGATGAATAAAAAGAGTCTCTGCCGATGAACTGCAGCATGAGCTATTGCTAAGGTGAACGAAACTAAAGCAGTCTTTGATAAATAGCGCCACACCCCCTGCTCGTGTAGCACTGTTTCTAGCTTGCGAAAGCATGACGTAGCCGGGTAAATGAACTGATTCGCTTTCTCGAAGCCAAGTTTCAGTTATAGCGATGACATCATATTTAAACGAGTGCTGTGATAAGTACGAAAGCAGATGATCGAAGTTCTTTTTTATGCTGCGAATATTACAATGTAATACTGCGAAATGATCCTGCTGCAGCCATATGTTTTCAACCTCAGAAAAAGAAAACGCCATTTAAAAGTATAAGAAACTCCAGGTTACAGAAACAAGCAGGCAATCCTCAAACAACTTTGGAAAGATCCTCAGCACATGTGACGTGAAGCACACGTGAATTATCCGCCTTCCGCATCAAAATCTTTCCACCAGTTACCCAGGTGTACTTCCACTTTTTTTCCCGCTTTGTCTTTAGAGCTGCTGTTAGCAATTCCTTGTTTGCCGGACACAAGTGCTCATTTATGTACACTGGAGATGCGATGCCCTGAAAACCTAAAGCTGTCGTGTTAAGTCGTTGCTTCTTAGCAGTCTTCAGAACATTATCTTTCACAGCTCTCGAAAGAAACCTAACTATGATGTTAGGTGTTGACGCGTTCCTTGATGGCACTCGGTGCACGACGTCTATATCTGTTTCTTTGATTTCAACTTTCAGGTAGCTGGCAAGCTGTTGCATTGTGGAGACCAAGTTTTCCCCCTCCATCACAGGAACTCCCTTTATTTCTAGGTTATTCTGTCTACTATATTGTTGCTGAGCAGTGAGTTCCTGTTTTATTTCCTTAATATTCTTGACGAGGCGACTGTTTTCGCTTTTAATCGCGTGGTTTTCTGCTCGCACCGCAGCAAGTTCTTTCTTTGTTTCGCCAAGTTCCACCCTGAATTGCTCGAATTGCTCATTCATGAAGTTGATTGACTGTCTAAGAGTTTGTAGTTCGCCTTCAATAACCTTTGTGATGTCTTTCTTTAGCTCATCATGTTTGGTATCAATTCTAGCAGAAAAATCTGACAAGGCCTTAACTAGTTCCTTCACAGTAGTGGGCGGCTTATCACCCATAATACCCGTCATTCCCTGAGCAGTCCAGGAACAAAGAAGCCAAAGTACAAGTCGTTCACGTACCTGCGTAAAGCAAGGTAAATTTTTAGCTGTCGTTCAGCCTCGTTGCTGCCTGGACTGCCCGTGAAATGACGGCTGACCCTCGCTGGAGCGGTGGTTTTATAGCAGAGCTGTGACGTATTTCAGGGGGGCGTTGTTCCCGGTTCTGCCCACTTGATTCCTAGTAGCGCTGACCGCTTCCGAAGACACCTTGCCCGCTTCCACCACCAGCGTTCTCTTACGGGCGCTGCGTTCTTGTAAATGCTACGGCTCTCTTGCTGCCTGGACTGCCCGTGAAATGAAGGCTGATCCTCGCTGCCACCACCAGCGTTTCCACCACGAGCGTTCTCTTACGGGCGCTGCGTTCTTGTAAATGCTACGGCTCTCTTGCTGCCTGGACTGCCCGTGAAATGACGGCTGATCCTCGCTGGAGCGGTGGTTTTATAGCAGAGCTGTGACGTATTTCAGGGGGCGTTGTTCCCGGTTCTGCCCACTTGATTCCTAGTAGCGCTGACCGCTTCCGAAGACACCTTGCCCGCTTCCACCACCAGCGTTCTCTTACGGGCGCTGCGTTCTTGTAAATGCTACGGCTCTCTTGCTGCCTGGACTGCCCGTGAAATGAAGGCTGATCCTCGCTGCCACCACCAGCGTTTCCACCACGAGCGTTCTCTTACGGGCGCTGCGTTCTTGTAAATGCTACGGCTCTCTTGCTGCCTGGACTGCCCGTGAAATGACGGCTGATCCTCGCTGGAGCGGTGGTTTTATAGCAGAGCTGTGACGTATTTCAGGGGGCGTTGTTCCCGGTTCTGCCCACTTGATTCCTAGTAGCGCTGACCGCTTCCGAAGACACCTTGCCCGCTTCCACCACCAGCGTTCTCTTACGGGCGCTGCGTTCTTGTAAATGCTACGGCTCTCTTGCTGCCTGGACTGCCCGTGAAATGAAGGCTGATCCTCGCTGCCACCACCAGCGTTTCCACCACGAGCGTTCTCTTACGGGCGCTGCGTTCTTGTAAATGCTACGGCTCTCTTGCTGCCTGGACTGCCCGTGAAATGACGGCTGATCCTCGCTGGAGCGGTGGTTTTATAGCAGAGCTGTGACGTATTTCAGGGGGCGTTGTTCCCGGTTCTGCCCACTTGATTCCTAGTAGCGCTGACCGCTTCCGAAGACACCTTGCCCGCTTCCACCACCAGCGTTCTCTTACGGGCGCTGCGTTCTTGTAAATGCTACGGCTCTCTTGCTGCCTGGACTGCCCGTGAAATGAAGGCTGATCCTCGCTGCCACCACCAGCGTTTCCACCACGAGCGTTCTCTTACGGGCGCTGCGTTCTTGTAAATGCTACGGCTCTCTTGCTGCCTGGACTGCCCGTGAAATGACGGCTGATCCTCGCTGGAGCGGTGGTTTTATAGCAGAGCTGTGACGTATTTCAGGGGGCGTTGTTCCCGGTTCAATTTGTGAATATGCCGTGTTTTTTCGCATATTTCGCCATCTTATTTTTTTACAAATTTCGCATGTTTCGTAACCGATCCCCCGTGGTGGGTTGTGCCATTCTTCTGGCTGTTGCGAAACTGGCGTTAAGGCATCCCACCACTCGTACCATTTTTGCCACTTTGGGTAGCGTGGTCCCAACCGGGACCATCAGCGTCTCGGGGGAAGACGATTAGAGGAGCCGGAGCTTGTAAAGGAAACGTTTTAAGAAGTATATACAAGATAATACTACATGAATGAATAAGCCCACCTGAGTGTCTCGGTGCTCGCGTTTTATGCCCTGGTTTTCCCAAAATTCGCTGCATGGAACAACAATTGAGGCCAGGACAGTCCCATGAGATTGTCATCTTAATCTACGCCTCCGAAGAGGAAACGTCAAACACTGCCTCCTTCCCAACACAGGATAGAGGGAAGAGGCACGCCGAGTTCATCGCACGGAGAGGGAGATCTCCTGGCATCTTCTATAACGTCAAGCCAAATCAAAAGTCGTAGAATTTTGGACAGCAGCATTTATGCTTTCCAACACCAGCAATGCAACGAGCTTGTCCGTAAAACACCTAGCCACACAATATCAGTATTACTTAGGGTACCCACATGAACCACGGGATGAATTTTTGTGTGTGCTTAATCTGACAGGAGGCGATAGACATTCACCAATCTTCATTTGCCATGGCTTAGCGTACTTCACCCGTTTCTCACAGAAAATAGTACTTGTACTTTATATTTAGTGGCTACCTGCTTTTAACTACGCACCATGCGGCGTGCAGATAGAATGACTGTCAATTTATTTTCAGTCTCTTTGGGTCTGTTCTTGTTGAAGGTTGCCTTTTGTGAACCTTTTTAGGAGCCCTTCACAAATTTTGGTAGCCTTAGGGAATACGAAAGTCGAAAGGTCATTCATACTCTGGGCCCCTCATCTGTATACAAGTTCTAGGTACTTGATGTATATGTAACTACGAAAACTGGAACTGAATATGCCTTTTTTTAACCGTTTTAACCGTGCAAAGCCTTAAGGGCCTTGCTTCCATTCAAATCGTTAACAAGGCTAATACAAGTGCACTTTCTCGAGATAAAGAGCGGTATCCATAAGCCAGTGGCGAGCAGTGCATATTGGTGAACTTTACTATGTATGGAAGATTCTAGCTTTCAGAATCCACTCACATGCTATCAAGCGACACAGAACAGAAACAATATAACTTAAATTTTTATTGGACAGCCATTTACAATGCCACAAACACGTGAGCAACACAATCCCCTCCCACACATGGAATGTAGTATACAGGCTTGTCGCACAAGCTGGGCTCCCGAGGACATCCGCAAAGACTTTGGTTCACACAGTCATTTTGCAACTACCACCAGCTATTCTGAAGTAAAAGAGTGTTTAGCATGCTGCTTGGGCTGCTAAATCAAGACGCAGCAAAGAAAAAAACAAGCTTTAAAATATATCAAACAGACAACTTATGCATTTATTGAAGATGGCAGTGAGTAGTCGATACATAACTTTCTTGTGATGTCACTCACAGGTTCTCACCACTGGATAGCGAAGACGGCCGACAGCGTAAATTTGTATCACATTTGAGGATGTCAGTGCATGGTTCGCTCCCCACTTTTTTTTGTGCGTGCTCTCGCCGCATGCCTTTGTTCACCAGCTGTGCCAACGGACAGCACAAAGATTGGAGGGGGCCTCGGCACTAATCTGATGCCCCCGTTTCTTACCATGCGCGTTCAAGCAAGAGTTTACGCAGCATCTCAACTAGCTGGTACCCGAAGCTGGCTACCACAGTAACATCAATGCAAGTTATGTATAGAGATGTCACAATTTATCGACCTGCATGCGGTTATGCCTCGCAGTCACATCCACACAATTGCAAATTACAATATTGATCAAGCTGCTGCCGTCGATTCGTACATTTGTATTGAGCATCATAACTATTATATTGACGACTAGATGCACTTACCTAAGTTGTGTTGAATCGGACAACCACTCATGAAAGGTTTATCCCACTAGAATTGAAGCCGTGAAAAGCGCATAAATTCAAGTAAACACTGCAAATGCAGCATTATGAACACTGCAGCAAACTTTTCAAATTCACGATAGAAGCACTGAGAGGTTTCGACATGCAAGCAGGTATGTATGTACACTTAGGGCGACTGCTGAAGACTGGGCAAAGAACAGAGCCAGAACAATAATGTGTCGTTTTTGTCCACACACAACAAGACGATCGAGAACTTTCACTGCAAGAACCACATGATTCATCTCTATTTACATTTCATTTCATGAGTGAAATAAAAAAAACTAACACTAAACTCTAATCTACACTATCTACACTCCATTGACATATCGAAAAGATTTTTACTAGAGCAAAAACATTAAACTGATAGCTTACATAGTAACCCGCACTAGACTAATAGATATATATATAGGCATGATTTGAACAAAAAGCCATGTCTGGTGGTTTATCTGCAGCGATCTGTGAAATGAAGAACAATCCACATTAATTATACAGTAAACTGCCAAAAATGTGCTCTTGTAGAATAGGAGAAGAAATGAAGTTATAGAAACCAACAATTCATGCCTCACATATGCGCATAATAAGTTGACTTACAAAGCTACATTACTATCCTGGACAGAAAAGTCAATGCACAAATAATATTGCAAAGCATATATACCATCAGGGAGCCTCTTTTACCTCCTACACCCTGTGCACTCATGTTTCCGCTGCACTTCGCTACACCCAATGAAACACAAAAACAGTTGCAATAAAACACAAAACATGACACATCGCAATTTTCAACACCTTAACTGTCAGGTCTTCCACATTAAGAAGTGGTAAGACAAAAGAAACTTGGCTATTGCTTCAAAAAAAATACGTAAAAAAAACGCTGTACGAAGAAGAAAGCACACCATGAGCCGCTTGTAGTGCCGAGAGAATCGTCGATAACCTGACAACATGTTATACATCCTCCGTGCTAACATTGTATGCCTGAAAACATCATCGGTCATAGCCAAAGAAAAAGGCCAAATCATAAATCATCTTGCTGCCAGATGAAAAAGTGACAACTTGAATACTAGTATATCATTACAATGTAATTTACAACTTCGCACAGGGCAGATAGTATAGGTTGACTAAGGGCTCCAAAGACATATTCCCTCCATTTCACTTTCTCCCCATTCCAGAGCAGCAAGGAAAGTACTTGCCTCTTTACTTCACACATATTCTTTCACTCCAATGCAGCCAACAGAGCTGCCATCAACCTTATCCTTGATACAATACAGTTTTTGTATTCACTTCAGTGTAACGCACCTTATATAAGGTTTCATCATATGAGAGTTGATGCCATTCACATTTCCAGCAAAAAACCTATCACGCCCCAGTATGCAATGTTGTAACACTGTTCCTTGTGCTCTATGTACATCAGTCAAGCACACTTCATATAAATTCCATAGCTTTTTCATGAAATAAATATAACATAGAAATTACCCCAATGCATTCTTCATTTCTTTTTTCAGCAAGTCATTCCTTGCCATTGTTCAAGACTCTTTAATTAGAGAAAGAGTTTGGGAGCCCTTAGCCTACCTTGACCTAATATACATGAAGATCGCCCTTCCCCCCATCTCTTGATGTCCGAACAGAATGTGCAAAAACTGGGCAATAACACCAAGGCTTGGAAAAACCTAATATTTCTAGAGTCCAACCCTTGCTGCCAAGAAACCCACTTCCTCACAAGTTCGCGCAAGCAGTGCTGACAGCATAACTAGTCCCTCTTCATTCGCTGCGTCGTCATGCGGTAAATGATGGAGTCTCGGCCAGGGTCCATGAACCACAGGCCTACCGAAATGCCAAACAGGGCTAGTGCCAAGAGTAGCAGCACGAAGCCAATCAGCACAAAGGCCACGTGCGCCTCGTGGTCCCACGGAGTTGCCAAGTTCCAGCTGCCGCCATCTTTGAGGGCAGCAGGGGCAGCCACCTTGACAGCGGGCGATGTGGGTGGTTCAGCGTTCTGTTGTGCCTCATTCTCCTGTGTATTGACAGAATTTATAAATGTAAGGCATCGCTAACGGGAGACCTATGCATAGGTTCAACACCTATTTCTTACGACCAGGAGAACTAGGCCATGCTAGGCATAGTCTTAGCAACAGGACCCCTAAGCATAGGTCTCCTGTTGCTAGGCATATGTCCGACCGCCTGCGCCCGACCACTTTAGGCTGTAGTAAAAAAAAAGGCATAGCACAATAGAAGACATGCATATATGGTCGTTACACTCACAAGTGGCATATTACAAGGTGAACTTAAAAATGACAGCATATCCATGGGGCGAATGATGGAGAGTGGGCCGAAGCTGCGTCCGCACGTCGCTCCTGCACCGATTCGGCTTCCTGCTCTCGTACTGCAGAGTCCTCACTGCACTATTGCCCATTGTGCAGCTTCACGTTTCACTTTGGCCTCTCACGCCCGCACGTGGGGGTCACTTCTTCGAGCGTGAGTCCCTGCCGCCTTGCGCGCACGCCGATAGGCAGCCTTGTCTATCCCCCGCCACTAAGCCTCTGAATGCGCGTGCGCCAGGAACGGCACTTTTACTGTACTATAGAGCGCCCCCTAGCGTATGGCACCAACACACTTTCGTAGTCGTGCAATCATCTCTCTCCTTCCGTACAGACGTCAATCCTGTTTTCATAAAACTCACCTTATATTAATTATCTCTTTACAAGTAACACCCTTTAGTATCGTACCACTTGTATTTTTCAGCGTATAAGCATTCGTTATATAGTACAAGTACTACTATCTATGGCCGGTTCAAGAACTAACGAGAGGCGGTTCCGCACAACAAACACGAGGGACACACAAGCCACGCCATAAGGAGCTTCACCACCAAAAAACGAAAGTGCCTACACATGTTAGCATTTGTATTATGAGAACCAAATGCTATCGATACAGCTCGCAAAAGACAAAAAAATCTAGATTGTTGGAACAATGCACAGTGTACACCATGATCATAAAAGTCATGGTGTATGATCCTCAATAATTCAAAGTATGCCAAAATGTCTTGAATACACAAGACAACACCGTGAAGCCATATGCGCATATTAGCACTGAAGAAATTAAACCAGAAGAGCAGTGTACCATGGTACACCAGTAACAACCTGAAGCAAAGATTTTGCTGATGCCCCGTCAGTAGCCTCTGAACATCCATTATTTCTAAGTCATGAACTAAAGCAATTATCAAGTAAAACTACACTAATTGAGTATAATTCACATACTCGAGTACACAGGTATGGTCAAGGGTCACAGTATTTTTATTACTGACATCTGGAGCATTGAACATTTTTAAAACAGTACCAAGCTTTATTATTCATACTTATGCAAGACATGCGTCTACAACACCTTGCAGTTACAGGCAGACAAAGTACCACAATGAAAGAACACCAAGCGTTTCAGCTATATATGTTTAGGTACAGTAAAACTTATTTGGAGCATACCTGCCAGAAGTTTAGTGCTGACAATCAATAAATTTAAAGTTGGAGAACCTCCCACAGAGCTCCATGTACAGTATGTTGACTGACTATTATACAGTATGTTGACTCTACAAACCCAAGCTCAAATATCTGTCTGCTCCCATATGCCGCTTCTCTCACAAAGCAGATAAACGTGACGCCATGGTAAATATTATTACAACTACAATGGACTCTTTAGAGCTGTTACGGTTGAGGTTTCGCGTATATCGTAGATAGAAAATTATCTCACCACGAAGTGGTGCACGCTCAATAACAACCCAAGCATTCAGATGAGATGGTTAAGACAAGAAGCTGAAACGTGCCCACCAGCAATGCCGCAATGAGACTTTGTGCAAGCTGGACTAATTTTCCCTCTTTTGTTTGTTTACCAAATCACAGACAAAAATTTTCGCTTTAGCATATGCTAGTACACCGTCGTGCACTATAGAACGAAGTCTTGATGTGACAATGCGGCAGTTGTTAGCTATTGAGTCTGCGAACAAGGTCCTGCAAAGTAAGCGAGTAGTTGCGCAGCATGTTATGGCAGCCTATTACAGGGGCCCTGCAACACTTTTTGAGCATGGTCAGAAAATGCTGCCGATCGGTAGTAGAGGCTCCCGACAACACGCGAGCCAAATATTATAGCGCAGCACGCGGCCTGGAATTCACAAGAAATTATCACAGTCAGCTAAAAATTGCTTTCTCTTCTCTCGATAAATCACCCAATATGCCCGAAAATCACAGGTAGCAAGCCCATTTATCAGCCATTGCCTGATTTGAACATGGCGCTCGCTCGTTAGATCGCCGCGGGAGGCCGCTACTTGTCTATACGTGCGTGCACGATCATACTAAAAAAGCCGCGCATTCAAAGAAAAAAAAGTGCTCAAGGTGACGAGCCGTGCATGACGTATGGCCCTGCCATACCTCCCTGCTTAGCTTCCAGCCCTTTCATCGGGACGAGAGAAGAGAGAATGTGATTGCAGCATGTGTAAAATCTTTGTAACTCTCCTCATACTGGACGGATGCTTGAAATTTTTGCGGCGTTTCATTGGTGAGGCAATAAGCTCTACCAGTGAATTCATTCCATGGTTACTTTGAAAAAGTGTTTCAGGGCCCCTTTAAGGGAGACACGGGTTGTGGAGACCAAAAAGTTGCAAAAAAACTCTTCTTTCTTTATTGCGTTTTCGAAATCTACAGCTACTAGTGCACTTATATCGATATTTCATGCCTATAATATCAATATTTTAGCCGCTAAGGCCCTTTACTAGGCGCTTTCTAGATAAATCAGAGCCGAATCGACGCTGAAATTGCACATTTTCCGTGACGCGCCCCTGCCCTTTCAGCGCGGCTTTCTTGGTCTCTTACGAGAGAGCCGTCTTCCACCTTCAAATTCCTGCCAGAATGGGTCCAATTCAACCATTGGCAGCTTGTCAAAAGAGCGGCAAAAATAAGTATCAGAGCGCCTTCCTATTCGCTACTTCGCGCACAGGACTTGAGCTTGCCTCCCTATTGGTGAAGGCTCCTGGCTTCATCTGCTCCGGGTATTGAGGCGCAAGAGCACTACTTTGCACCAGTGTCAGTGTCACAGAACGAGCGCTCAAAAAAAGAGCGCCGCCAACTCCTCGCGACGAAACCCGGAGTGACGCCGCGAGGTCAACGATACAAAAAAAAAAGAAAAACATCCAGACTCCCCGGGCGCGACTCTCTCCTTCGGAAGCGTAGATTCGCCGACGAACCTCCTCACCCGACAACGGCGGCCGAGCAAGCACTCGAACTTTCTAGATGGAAAGGGGCGTGGTGAGGCCGGGTTGAGTCATCCATCGCGGACGGCCTTCGAGCCATCTCACCCTCTCCCCATCCTTTGCTGTGTATCGCGCCGACGAAATGACGAGAACTTTCTGGAATCTCGCGCGGAAGGTATTTATTTAATGGAGCAGCTGAGGTGAGAGATCAGGAGAAGACGGAAGTTAGCGCCAGAGCGCGTAGGGATTCCACCGTGTAATCGGCGAAGGTTTTGTCCGTAGGGACAAAGCAGGAGAAGACGGAAGTTAGCGCCAGAGCGCGTAGGGATTCCGCTGGGCGAAGGTTTTGTCCGTGGAGACAAAGCAGAAGAAGAGGATGATTTCCACCTGAGGGGTGACGACTCGAGCTACAGGCAAGAGTGTGTGTTTACCGCTATCGAGCGAAGACGCGTGGCAACAGCTGCGTGTGTGAAGCCGACGTGTTTCCGGCGAAGAAGTTTGAAGCTTGGAGAGTGGCCAATTAAAGACGCGAGGTTTCCTGGAAGAGAAACTTCGGCGAGGTTTCCTGGAAGAGAAACTTCGAGGGCAGCGGAACGACGACAACGCTGGACTTTGAGTGAGTGATTCTCGGAAGAGTATCATCCAGACTTTTGTTCCAAGAACTTTGGACTGAATAGGTTTCCTATCTCTTTAGTCTTTAAGTGTCTTGGTTGTTCAATGCATGCGACTGCATTGTAGTGCGTATTGTTGTCTGTGTCCGTTGTTTCGAGTGTGGCTGATTGTACTTTGTAGTACGTTGTTTGATTGGTGACATATTGTACTCAACTATTGTGGAGTGTGCATACTTATGTATTATTTTCGATCTGCCATTATTGAGAATGTAATTTTGTTTGTTTATCAACTCTCGGCTCTGACTTGTTCTTTACGCCACAGCCGGCGTCCGCTGGCGCGCCAAAAAGGACCACTTCCACGCTTTCGTGGTGCGGTTCGGGGGGCCGATACTTCGGCCCTTGGAATTAGCCCGGCGATCGCCTCCCGAATTAACGGGACCGGTGTGACAATTAATCTGGCGTCCGCGACAGGACCTTTTGGTGCACAGTGTGTCCAAAGTAGTGAGAAAGAGCCTCGAGTTGTTGATAGTGCTATCGGAACGATTTTGTGTGTTGCTCAGTGTTCTCGTTAACGAGTGCAGGAGAGTGTTCCGATAGACTGATTTAGGCAGATATTTTTTGCACGCAGCAAGGTATTATTTGCGAGACACAATGGATCTCGAAAAGTTAGTCGCTCTTGGTGAGAAGATGGGTCTTTCTGGCGCCGAACTACGGAAATGGGTAAGCCAGAAGGAGAAAAAGGCGGTGGAGAGAGAGAGGTTGGCAGGTGAAAGAGCCAAGGAAGAAAAAGCAGCAGAGTTGGAACGAGAGAGATTGGCAGCTGAGAGGGCCAAGGAAGAAAAAGCAGCTGAGTTGGAGAGAGAAAGGCTGGCAGCTGAGAGAGCGAAGGAAGAAAGAGAGCAACAATTGAAGTTGGAGCTGGAGAGAGAAAAGTTGGCAGCCGAAAGGTCGAGAGAAGAAAGAGAGGCAAAGGAGTGACAGCTGAGAGAAGAAAGAGAGCAGCAATTAAAGTTGGAGTTGGAGAGAGAAAGACTGGCAGCTGAGAGGGCAAAAGAAGAAAGAGAGGAAAGGGAACGGCAGCGACAGCACGAGATAGAACTCGAGCGGCTCTGTTTGCAACAGCGAAGTGAAACTCCGGTCCAAGCTAGAGTTGAAAGCAGCGAACGAGAGGAC